GAAACAAGTAAAATGCAAAATAATGTATATGGTATGAGCTCATTTAATTAAGGAAAAAAACCCTTAAATTGTGTATTTGTATACATGTGTATACATCTTTTTTGTTTATGTACACTCTTATACACTTATAAGCTTTTGTTGATAATAACTATGATTTCAATAGTTTCCTTTGGGGAATATTTGTATTAATGTGTGGGGAAACTTTACTTTTTAAAAATTGTACTTCTATATTGTTTGAATTGTTTCACAATGAACTTTAAGAAATCAATATCTTCCTAGGGGACAAATCTAGAATAATATGGCAATTAGCTGGAATAGCATGTTTAGTTTTTTAAAAATCTGTATATATTTTGATGTGTATTGTTTAACTAGAAAATAAAAAGGCAGCTTTGCCTTAGTCAATATAAATGAATCTAAAAAAATTGTTGCAAGATCTGAGTCATTTGTTTTATTTTTGAAGTTACAGCTTAGAAATGACCTTAGCTTTTCAAAGTGAAAGAAATTTTTGTCAAGTATATTACATACGCAGGGTTCCATTAGTTCAATAAACTCCATTCAGAAAGCAATATATTTGATAGTTAATTATTCCAAATGGTGCCTGTGATCAAAAGGGATATTTGTTTGTAATGAAGGAAATCTGTGTAATGGTTATCCTGAAGAATATTTGCTCAAATGTGAGGATGGAAGTAATTGATGAAGTGAAAAATCATATATATCTTCTTCAGGCTTAGAAGGAGCAGCTTATGAAAAGCTGAGAAATAATTAAGAGTATTTGAGAAACTAAGCCAAAAGAAGTAAGTTTGGGGGTAAGATGTTAAATTTGATAATTTGAGATAAGGTATTATATAGGTCAATAGAAATATGTGTTTTATGTGTTATAATCCCTTTGGGCCTTTGCATGTACATATTGGGAAGAAATAGATATTTTTCTACTGTCCTTCTCACTGGCTTATTTTTTGAAATTTGAAATCTAATATTTGCTTCTAGTATAGATTTTTTTCCTAATTGAGTTGCAGGGGATTTTATATCCAATGAGAATTTTTCAGTTGTTACTTGAAGAATCTAGTGAGATGTAGTAAATATTTTTTGAAAACATGTCTGCTGATTCTTTTAGTGCTTTTACATCTCCCATTAACCACTTACAAAGCAAGATGTTGTCACAAGCACACTTGTCTAAACATACTATGCCCTATTTTTGTTCTCTAGCGCTTGCCCCATATTGGTAGAGGCTACTGTGAGATGGTCTTCCTGTGGAGGTCCAGACAGGAAGCTGGCCACAAATACCCTCTGCTCTGGGGTCTCCAATATCTCTTTAGTCGTCTGTTACTCCCCAGGTGGCTCTCCTCCAGCCCTGCACCGTAAGGGAGGAAGAAGAGAGCACACCCTCCAGAGGTGTATCTGAATTCTGATCTTGCCCTTCTGATCCCCTGCAAGTTCTCCCTTGGTCTAGGAAGGGCTTTTGTGTCTTCCCTATGTCTGACACTCTGTCCTTTTCTCATATGCTGCATCCTTCATAGCCACTGCTTATAGTAGCGCCCTGTTCTCAGTTTTATATAGTTAAAGGAATGTTTTGTGACTGCATTAAGTTTTTTTTTTTTTCCTGTAAGCACCCAGCTTTTGCAATTGAACCACATAGCTTTCAAGACTATTGTCTCACTGTAGATATTAACAGAAATCTAATTTTACACTCAGTGCTGAAGAATGACCTCTTATTCTAAGGTTTATCTTTTCTCCCCAGAGGAAATAAATGCCATTGATCCTGAAATGGCAAGGCTATGGGACAAATTTCAGAAAAGAAAAATATTAATCTCCAGTTATCATCTCCAATTATTATCTGGCTCCACTTTCTCTGCAGGGTAGAATGAATCTTAGTCATTCTGCTTTTAATTCCATTTAGTTCTTTTGTCATCACATTTGCAGTTTCTGCTGATGGGCTAGATAGGCTTTGGATGGCCAGGATGGCATAAGCACAAGAATGAGTATCCAGAGTCCTCATTTTCGTTTGCCAGACCCTTAGCCTCTTATGGGTTAGTTTTCTTATTGGAAAATGATATTTTTTTTTTATTAGATGATATTCCACGGTCCATTTTAATTGGGAAAAAAGGATTTGAATCTTTCAGAAATTCAAGAAATTATATGAAATACAGATTTGATGTTTCCAACATAAAGTAAAATAGTCTTAAGAATATGAATATGATTTATTAAAACATTTTAGAGATTAGAAATTTTGACATGAGCCGGAGAGTCCCAATTAATAGGTGTTCCTGGATGTCAGAGGTGTTCTGTGTAGTATTGTGTTTCTGTTCTCGTTGGCTTTTTGGTGTATGTCTTTCGAACAATAACTTTTACTGTCTGACATTTTCATGAGGCATTTAAAGTTAAAGATAGTTTTTAATTAGTTAGGTAGGTTGGGGAGTTTACAGTGAGGGATATTTCAGTTCTTGTAAAGATTCTTCTTCACTAAGATGTTAATTCTTCTCCATCCAAGTGTCAGGTAGCCAAACGTAATTGTGAAGTAATTGAGTTTAAAGTGAGATTTCTAATACAATTTAAGCCACTGCATTCCCATTAATGAAAAATTACCTCGCTCCCCATTTCACAATACAGCTCTGTTAAGTACGTTCTTCTTAATAGCAGATTTGGTTGTTACGCTGAAAGTAAGATTGTTTAGGGGGGTGGGGGCAGGCTCGAAAATATTGGGAGATTTTGATTTTATAAGTAGCCTAACTTCAAATATGGACATTGGCAAGGGGATGAAAGTATTGCTTATTTTATATTCTTTGGAGTTTTTGTTGGGGCTTGGGGGATTATAAACCATCCAGGGATTTCTGAGTCCTGACTTGGCTTAGCTCTCCATTTTTCTTGTGGGATTCCTTGGTGAGATACACACACACACACACACACACACACACACACACACACACACACACACATATACATACACACATCTCATTCTGTCTGTATATACATATACATATGTATTGTTTAACTAGAAAATAAAAAGGTGACTGTGCCTTAGTCAATATAAGTCAATATGTATATACAGGGATCCACAACAAACCTAGATAAAGAGCCATTTCATTGTTAACTTGACTTTTGTCTGAATATTCCAGATACATCTTGCTGGTCTCTGGTCCTGGGTGAATGTTTTGAGGCTTTGAAGCATAAGGATGGCTGGGGTTTTCTTTCCAAAATCTAATTCTATACATTATCCATGTGCCACCTGTCTTTATGCGACAAAGAACAAGAAGCTGAAGAGAGTCAGTTTCTGTGTTGGAAAAGATGAAGATCTTCCTTTTGTGTAAAAGTCTGCCCTGGCTTTATCACTATGCACCTTTGATGACAAAGTAATTGATATGGGCTACTACAAGCTTAGAAATCTAAGAGCTGGGTATTCAAGGAAATAGGAATGTGATTAGGTTCTTGAAACATGGAATTGCCCAAGAATGAAATTCTTTGTACAATTTGGAGAGGAAATCCGGGTGAAAGGTAGAAGAGGAATCATTATTTTGTAACAGCAGTATTTATACCATCATGTAAATAGTCAAACCAATGTGTAAGTTTGAGGTGTGCAGTGAATAAGGACCAACTTTGCCTTTGAACAGCTCTTGAGAAAGAACATATACATTTTAAATGATCCCAGTTTGGTCTGATTAATTTTACAGCCACTTAGATTTTGTTTTTCATTTGACAAAGCAAAATATTGACTACATCATTCCTACATACATTTTCAAATCAAGAGGTCAAATTAAAATGAGTGATTTGAAATCAAACCTCATAAAGAATTTTTTTCTATTTTTAAATGTTGTGGATAAGTATACATAACAAAATATTACCATTTTAACCATGTTTAAGTGTACAGTTCTGTGGCATTAGCAACACTAATGTTGTGTATCCATCAGTACCATCCGTCTTTAGAACTTCTCATCTTCTCCAGTTGATACTCTGTACCCATTGAATACTGACTCCCCATTCTCTACTCTCTCATAGGGAGATTATTTTTTAAAATATCCTTTTCTAATCACAATATAAAACGAATCCTGCTAGTCTTCCTTTAACCTCTCCTCCTTATGCTACTAGGGAAGTGTATATGGAACATTTGGGTTGCAGTTCGATGATACGGTGGAAAAGAGGTCTGTATGTGAGCTGAACATTTTATTAAAAATTTTTTTGTTTTGTTTTTCAAAACAAGATCTGCCACTGTTGCCCAGGCTGGAATGCAGTGGCATGATCTTAGCTCACTGCAGCCTCAAACTCCTGGGCGCAAATGATCCTCCCACTTCATCCTCCTGAGTAGCTAGCACTACAGATGCATACCACTATGCCCAGCTAATTTTTATGTTTTTTGTAGAGATGAGTATTCATTTTGTTGTCCAGGCTGGTCTTGAAATCCTGGCCTCAAATAGTAATCCAGCCTTGGCCTCCTAAAGTGCTGGGATTACAGGCTTGTGCCACTGTAAGCCGGGTGTTATAAGTAGCTATATAGGATGTACACAACACAAGCTCCAGCCAGAAGGTAAGATAACATAGAACTACAAATTTTAACAGCCCAGATTAACAAAAATTCCAAATTCAGGAGATTGTGGGGACAGAAACTAGCACAGAATAGTCGATTCTAGAACACAGATCGGGCAAATAATGGAACTCCAATTAGCTAGACTAATTGGAGACCAGAATAATCTGGAATGCTAACTGGAACATTATTCTTAGAGCACAGGAATAACGATTCAATAACTGAGAAACTGGGCAAGTGACTTTAATTCCCAACTGAGCTATCAAAAACAAGAACATAAAAGCAGAAAGAGGATAACTACATATCAGAAAGTCTAGATAATAAAAGTTGAGTTCAGTTGAACAAATACCTAGGTATTATCTCTACCTTGTCCACCTTTTTTCTACCCTGGCACACTCACACCCTATGCCCCACAGAATAAAGCATTTTCTTTCTTTCTTTTTTTGCTTCCCCTCCCCTCCCCAACCTTCCCTCTCTCCCAATACAGGATCACAAAATTATGGGCAGGCCGTCATCAAATATAGAAGTAAGTTTATTGTAAAATTCTACTACTTAAGCTTGACCATTTTGCTATCGGTGTAATTCTTTTTCAGTATTTTGGAATAATGGTCATTTTTGTGTCAGATCACTTCTCTTCTATCAAGTTTTGGATAATCACTCTGGCTGGTTTTTTAAAATTTTTTTTTATTTTTTTTGAGATGGAGTCTCGCTGTGTTTCCCAGGCTGGAGTGCAGTGGCGCGATCTCAGCTCACTGCAAGCTCGGTCTCCTAGGTTCACACCGTTCTCCTGCCTCAGCCTCCCGAGTAGCTGGGAGTACAGGTGCCCGCCACCACGCCCGGCTAATTGTTTTTGTATTTTTGGTAGAGACGGAGTTTCACCATGTTAGCCAGGATGGCCTCGATCTCCTGACCTCGTGATCCGCCCGCCTCGGCCTCCCAAAGTGCTGGCATTACCACCGCACCTGGCCACTCTGGCTGTTTTGATGATTGTGTTCTGTTTTCCCCAGGAATACGCTAGGATGGTCTGCCCATGATTTAATATGGCATTCCTTTTTATCTGTTGGTTAATATAATGTACTGTTACTTTTTCTATTCTCAAGTTGCTTAGCATTGTTTGTACAAATACTAGTAAGTTGGTTTATCAACTCTTTCCATTCAACACCATGCTAGAAATCTTGAATTACCTGTGTTATCATTTGGATTTAATTCTTCTAAATTAGGAATGTACACTGAGTTCTCATTCATGACTGTTCTCTTGTACTTTCTCTTGTATATGCCTTTGGATGTCATACATTAACTTTCAGAGTTGGCTTTGTAATTTATTTTAGCAGAGATATATTTCTACCTTCTGATACCATCAGAGAACATATGAGAGAATGTTATACGTAAAAATAGTGGAAAAATATTATTTATTTATTTATTTATTTATTTATTTATTTATTTATTTATTTATTTATTTTGAGACGGAGTCTCTCTCTGTTGCCCAGGCTGGAGTGCATTGGCGTGATCTTGGCTCACTGCAAGCTCCACCTTCTGGGTTCACGCCATTCCCCTGCCTCAGCCTCCGAAGTAGCTGAGACTACAGGCGCTCACCACCATGCCCAGCTAATTTTTTGTATTTTTAGTAGAGACGGTGTTTCAGCGTGTTAGCCAGGATGGTCTCGATCTCCTGACCTCGTGATCTGCCCGCCTCAGCCTCCCAAAGTGCTGGGATTACAGGCATGAACCGTCGCACTCGGCTGGAAAAATTATTTTTTATGAATGTACATGTGTTGTTCCATGATTGGGAAACACCAGCATTCAAGAAGAATTCACAGGGGCCAGATACTAGAAGTATTTCATATGGTGGGGAGATTTTGAGGACACATGAAAATTTAGGGATGTTTTCTTGAGAAGTTGTGATGAGCCAAGAGAGATCACGTTAGAACAGGATTCAGTTTTCTTTCAGTCGGGTTTTTAACTCTCTTTCCTGATATCTTTTACTTCTCTTAGTCCTTAGATCCATTCGGTCAGAGCTCATCTCAATTTGCAATGAACCCAATTAACACTAACATATATGTGATAAATAGGCTTAACTTTTCAGGATTACTTTTCTCCCTAATCTACAGCTTGTGAATTTAAAAAGTTGTTTCATCTGCAAATTTGAATGGTGTTAATATTTTATTTGATTTGAACTCTTGTTTTTCTGCTAGTTAAATCTTTCATTATGAGGGGACGATTATACCCAAGGAAACTTCAATAAAATGGTTCTTTTTGTAGGGTTCATACTTTTGAGATGAGCAAAGTTGCTAATTTAGAAGATCCTTGGATATTAAACAGTTTTTATAAAATATTTTGATTTTTAATTTCTTATAAGAATAAAGAGGTAGGGGAAGCATTCTTTAGGTCATCTTTGTAAAAATCGTTATTGTTTTGAGGTATATACTTTAAGTTTTTTTAACAGAATATTTCCCAATACTTTAACAGTTCTTTTGTACATATAACTGCGGTTAAAAAAATCTAGATATACCCATAATGAAGGGTTTATTAAGTAGTGAGGTTCTTATTCCTGTGCATATAGGACTTGAGTTGTAGAGAAAAGACTATTTGTTTTGTGACTTTGTCTGCTGAAACAGAATGTCACAGAAAGAGAAATATGCATTTATCTGCTACATTTTTGATGATTGCTACAGTTGAAATAATCTGTTTCACAAAATTTTATTTAGGGCTTCAGCTACTCTTTCTATATATTATATAATTATTAGCCTTGAATTGTCAAACAGACTTCTTTTTGCTAGTAAAATACACTGATTTGTTATGGCAGTCATATATTAGTATTTGAATAGAAAAATAGCCTGTTTCTCCACTGATTATATGTTTTTAGGTATATACCCATTTATTTATGTGCCTAGAAATATTAAAACTTGGTTTGAGAGGCCAGATATGACTAAAGTGATTTATACAATGTGGTTTTCAATACCAAAGCATTTACTTCGATGTTTTCCCAAGGGTCTATTGCCAACTCACAAAAACATTCCAAATTTTTTCACTTTTTTCCCTATGTATTCTGAATCATTTGCTTTTGAGCTACCTAAACCTTCTTTGAAACCGTATTGTCCTATCAACCACCAATGTTGTTAACTCTCAGAAATTTAGTTTTTTTCTCAGTCATTTGCCTATTCTCCATTTCTGACCTTCAAGTTTCAGATTATCAGGTGTATTCCATTTACTATATGGCTAAATAACTGAACCCTATCCAAAGTTACCTACTACTTGAGAGGCAGTGATAGGCAAATTCTTGGCTTTTCCTTTGGAAGTAGAATCTTCCTTCTGTATTTGCAGGGGATTATTTCCAGGAACCCAACAAATACTAAAATCCACACATACTCAAGTCCTAAAGTTGATTCTCTCCAGCCTGCAGTTGACCTTCAATATCCATGGGCTTTGCTTCTTGAGAATACTGTAGTTTCAGTCTGTGCTTGATTGCAAATGGGAATCTGCCAGTATGGAAAGCTGACAACATTTATTGAAAAATATCTGCTTATAAGTGTACCTGTGCAGTGCAAGCATGTGTTGTTCAAGAGTCAACTATATAGCCCTATTTCCCAAAGCTTTAAATCCTGTTCATTGTGTTCTGGAGACTAAACATTTCTCTTCCCTCCCTCAGGCCTATTCAGTTTCCCACTAACTGTTCTGGTAAACATGTACAGGAAGGGAAAATTTGGATCAAGTTAAATGCGAAGTATAGGGAGTTATCCTTACTAATGTGCTTGGTTGCAGACTGCTTTCCTCATGCAGATTCTCTGTCCCAGAGGATGCTCTAGGCTTGCTGTGTGGTGGTCAGTTCCTGGTCTCAGGACTGCTCATAGCCAAGCCTTGTGCCACCTTCAGCAAGTAACTTATATTCTCTGTGCTTAGGTTTCCTGATTTATAGCATGAAGTGATTAAAGTCCGTACTGAAGGGCTGTTCTGGTTCAAAAATTTGTATCTTTTAAATTTTGATACTCTTTATCAGCCTCTTAGAATCTTATGAGTTAGAAAGCAAAGAAAAATAACAGCAATTATGCAAATATTTCATAGATGTCTCCCCATTTGAAGACTGTTAGGGACTGGTGTTTTTCATTTTCTAGACAAATTATTTTGCTTACTTTATTTTTTTAGTTGAGTTGAATTTATTGACTTCTCTCTGTGTCATAGAGAAGAATGCTTGCTTATTTAATCAGATATACTTATTTTCATCCTCTTAAGGCTAGTGTAATTACAGTCTATTTAAAAAGGTAATTTATTATAAACATTAACATGTAAAATTTAATATCTGTGCTAAAGACATACCAGAAAAAAAGCTTAAAATGCTTAATATTTTAAATGCATATTGTCATAAGATACATTTAACCAGGGAGCACCAAGAAAAGCAGAATAAACACTTATTATTAGTAACATTTGCTGATTTAAAATACTCAGTTATAGAAAGAGAAAGGTGTTTTTTATTACCTTTTATGCCTACACTGACTACTAAAACATTTAAAACTGCATATTCTGAGGTGTTTTTTCTTTTGCAATGGTGAAATAATGTATGATGACATTTATATGGAGTCTTACTCCTAGAAAGCTATATTTTTAATCAATCTGATTAGATTAATCAATCTGATTATGTACTAATATGTATAACCATGTGACATGGAATTATGATTTTTTAAATGGAAAGTTTAGTATGAAAGAAAAGATTTTGAAAGGATATTCTTTATATAATTTTACGACTATTTTTGAAACTTTGAAAATAGAAAAAGAATGAAGTGAAAATGTAATTAAAAGAGACTTTTTCAGTTCATGGCTCTTGGCAACATAGAAACGTTTGTCATCTTTGACTTCATTCTGACATAAAACCCTTATAAAATGCGGCATATGCTGTGTTAGTGATCAGAACAGTTTTTGAACAGTATTAATCTTCTCTTGGAAAAATGGAGCGTTACACAGCATCTCTAGGAAGTAAGATTAAACACAGAACTCTAATGGCAACAAAGCTAGATCACAAGTATAGATGGCACTAATAATCTGACTTTATGATTCAGAGTTTCATGTTATATTTGAGAAAATCTAGTATTTCAGAGTAAATGTATTTTGAACTGGCTTTAGAAGAATAGCTCCACCGATTCATGGGTTTGAGCCTAAAGTGTGCTTTACTCTTGAATGCTAAATTGTGTTTATGGACTCTGATTGTACTCTTCTTTGTCACCACAGGGGGAGGGTTACATGAAGGTATTTATCATCTCACTTCATGTTCATAACTACTCGTAGAGGGACAGTGTCCCTATATCATAGATGAGGAATCACAGCCATAATGAGGTTTAGTGACTAGTATGTGGTGGGCTGGGATGTAGAACCTGCTGCAGGATACCAGGCCTGAGTTCTCTGAAGGAGGACCCTGCCCTTCCTCCAGGCATGCTAGTATTTTACCAGAGGTTTTGCTAGCATGACTAACGGAAATAGTATTCTGTATAAAAACTTTATTCTCACTAAATGTCCTCCTTTATTCTCATTCGTTGTTAA